TACTAAACATTCATATCTGCCAAAAAGAAAAACATACAATTCAGATGAATTTATACTAGTGCTAAATACTGTGGAAAAAAAAGAACCTTGACGATTAGCATCTACCTTTTGATCTCCTTGGATCATCTGCAAATCTTTCAGTGACTTCTCTAGCTTCACCTTTTCATCTAGTGCACTTGTAGCCTGAAAAACAAACAAACAAAAAATCCCCACACCACTCATAAGCGTATTCTCATTGAAAACACCACAATAATAACAATGATAGTCTTATCTGGATTAAATAACATTAAGTATCCAAGCTCACAGCGAGTTTACCTGCGTTTCTATTGTCTTGAGCCTGTTCTTCAGTTTTTCATTTTCTTCTTGAAGTCTAGCAATTTCCTTTGGGTAAATAACAAGAAGTAGTTCACCTGTAAACATTCCTGTGCTATTTTCAGTATCCCAAATATTTGTAAGAAAAGTGAGAAAAATAAGCCTTATAGTTTAACAAAGCAAGAAAGCTTGTAAACGCTTATAAAGATGGTCTTGTAGATAAGGATTAGAGATTTCTTCACAAGCAAAATGTGCAAATTACAGCATGTTCTACTTTGGCGAGAAAGGAATTTCAGTTTCCTTAAATACATAAATTACAGTATAACCGCACGTAAGAACTCGTAAGAACTCATAAACATATTTAACTGTTATGAAATTGGTATTGAATTTACTTTAAGAAATAATTACACTGAACTACAAGTAAAATGTATGAATATTTTGATTATCTTGAAAGGTAACAACAATTATGACTGAGTTCTTGAGAGGCCACTTTGGTAATGCAGTCTGGAAGACAGAAAATGCACATCTTTAACTGATTCCTAGTGCTTAAAAATGTATTGTAATATGTGAGGCATTTTTAAATAGCCAAAGAAGCTCACTTCATAATAAAAATTATTGCTAGTATTAAGTATTAAAACATTCTTTATAACTTTGAACATCTTTAACAAGTAGGATATTCAAAATTAATAAAATGTATGTTTTTCTTAAGTTCTTGTTTCTCAAGGAGAAATTCAAGGAAAAAATATCTATATAATAAGACTGACTTTCAGTAATACAGAAAATCCCTGATACCCTAATCATTTCAGTCAACTACATAATTTAATTCCTTGTAGGAAAAACAGCCTCATGAAACATAGCTAAATACTAGTTCCTACTAACGTTAGTCATTAAATGGAAAAATAAAAAGTTAAAGACCAAAATGTCTTTGCAAAAGGAAGATCAATATTGCAATAAATGCTAGAGGCCACAGACAAACAATAAAACAAAGTTACTTTAGAATATTTATTATCAATTAACTTTGCACTCCATTGTATATTACACTGACTGCTGAATAGTGAATATACAAATATTACTGTACAGCTTTCCAGTTTTCCTGAATATGCCCAACAGTCATCAGCTACAGCTGCATCAAGAGACAAATTCTTACCTTGTTCAGCAGCTCTGACCCACCTTCATTTAATGGAGCCAATTTTGGCTTAATGAGATCTGCACTGGGCTAAAGTAGTGATAAAAGATATAGTTCAAAATATATTTTTGAAGTACTCAAATACTATCTGTATTAATTAAATAACACAGTTACGTTACAAAACAAATAAGGTTCAATGTTAACCATACAGGATAAACCAGAGCTATATCTATACTGGAGGAGATCCTCTCAGCTTCATATTGGCACAAAGCCTGGCCATACATGCGCCTGTGCCCATTTCACCACTGGTCCCAGAGGAAGGAAACTCAGGAGCAGATGCTCCAACACATGCCTGCCCTGGCTGACTTTAGGATCAAGCGTAGGAAGCATGTTCGGAGTGTGGAGAATCCCCAATCTAGAAACAGCCAAGGCAAGTCTTAGTGACAAATCGTAAACTGCTGTTTTTTGAAGACTTTTAAAGATTATACTGAATACTTTCCCCCCGCCCCGCCTTTCAAAACACAGACAGATAATACTACATAATTATTTTAAAATAAGTCACTCCTGACTCCACAAGGCATTTCATTATTATATTTTAAAATAGAACGCTACCTTCTTGCTTGAAGATGTAAATTCTGACTTTTCGAACTCAGCAACCTGTTCCAATAGTTCTCTTGGAGAGAAAAACAAGGGGAGGCATTGATTTACTAAGTGAGCTGTGTGGAGAAACACATTCTACTTAAGCTCATGCTGTATTCCTTATTGTTTGTAAGATTCTTGTTAGAGTACAGATGAAACTCCATGCAAATACATTAAGCATGATGGAGAGTATCACACATAAATATGTTATGTGTAGAAACTGCAAGATGTAGAGTCCTTAAATATAAGCTACTTGTATAATAAAAGGTTATTAATCAAATGCTACCATCTGCTCTTAAATAATTCAATTAAGAATATTAGTCATAAATATTTTCCACAGCAAGTTTGAAAGCATCATTTATCTCACTAGTTTATAGACAGAAGATTTGAAACTAATATATCACTGATACAGAAGGAAAAGAATAACTTTTCTAAGGTTAGGAAAAGAATAGAAGTAATCAACAGTTTGAAGTTCTGTTATTATTCAAAGAGGTTCTCTATATTCCAATATATGTTACCGATTCTCCAACTCAGAGATGTCTGTCTGTAACTTAAGGTACCATTTTTCAGCCTGTGAAAAGAGCTGGCGCAGAAGTAACACATTGGTGTAAGCTGTATTTATGAGTTCTGACTCCACTTCACTGTGCACGACAGTCTGCAATCCATCCAGCATGTCTGTCACCTCATCAACTGTGAAGGTCTCCTCCACAAGCCTAAACAGAGAAGTTAACATGGGTCACATGCATTAAAGAATTCTGCATTGTTGTAAGGGATGTCACTACATCAAGTATGACTTATAAATAACACAATTTCCTTCCAAAATGACCTTCTGTCAGTAGTTATTAGGTGAAAATGCCACAAGTAACTTTGTTAACACATTTATGTTTCATCTTGGAAACAATTTCAAACAAATATAACTTCTGTTTAGAATACTGAAATTCAAACACAGACATAAAAAGTAGAGCGTAAATCAGTGCCATGGGTCTATCTCTGTGCCAATTCCTACAGATTTAAACAACTTCGGTTTAAAAGGGCTTGACTTGTAACACTCAGAAAAAATATTGGATCTTTCTTCCTTATTAAGAATATATGTGTAAACTGTCTGAAAAGCGCATTCCCCATCAAACACTAAACCTACAACTGTCACTAACATATTTTGCTCTGTTTTTGCTCCCTGCATCTTTTAGCTTAATATTGTACCCTCCTCACAATACCTGCTGTCCTTAAGGTCCTGAAAGCAGGAATCCACTGTTTTTAGACGCAGGCCACGCTTGGAACGCGCAAAGCGCATGTAGTTGATCACTTCATTCTGGTGGTGCTCGTTAAGGCCTAGCTCTGCCTATGAACAAGGAAAGAAGCACACACTGAAATAAGTGAAAATGGACATTAGTATTGTGAAGATTTGCCCTCCGACTAGTTTCTATGCTTACCTTTCTAAAGAGTTATCATGTTTACTAACACGTTAGAAGGCAACCACACTTTAACTTGTATAACCCCTACATATCTCACATAAGTGCAAAGCCTTTAAAAAGGGCCAGCACTTTGAAGTAAATCCTCAGATAACCAATACTCTCAGAAAAGTTGCACAAGTATCAGGAGCAGGGACAATGGGAGAAAGGCTATAAAGAATCAGAAGCACAGAAATGAGGAAGCTCTTGGACAACATTTTCTTTGTATTATAAGTTTACGTGCACAGTCCAGTTGAACTACACATTTATCTTTTAAAGATACACTAAAAGAATTACAGAGAAAAGTTAATTACATTTCTCTGTTAGCTTGTATGTCAAGTTAGCTTGAGACTTCCCATGTAATCATGATAGCCCCAAATTGTTTCCTACCAGCCCTGAAACAAAGATTTTGGGGGGCAAAGTAAAAAACAAGAAAATTATACCTAGCTAATTAGCACTTCCATGTATGTCTGCATTTCAAAAGGAGTATTTGCACAGGAAATTATGTTGGATTAAATGCTGCTAGTGGAGGTAGCACCACCACATACAGACATGACCTTCACAAGGTATGAATGGCAGTTCATAATCACAGACTCCGGCAGCCTGGTGCAACCAAAAGCAAAGAGCGTTTGAATGACTCCAGCATACTGAGCTAGCACTGCTGATGCTGTGTGCAGCAAGAGAACAACTCAGCCTGACAAGTAATCTGATCACTTAATCCTCATTAATAAAACTGCTCACGGTGGGCCAAGTATAAATGCAATATCTGAATGAATAATATCGAGAATGTGAACACAAATCCTGGACAAATGGAAATTAAATACAGTGCAGGAGGGAGCAATAGTTGTTAATAAAACAAACTGTCATGATGTGGTTGCTAATCTGGCATTTCCCACAAAGTCCCAAATTGCAAGAGATCACCTGAGAGGCCAAACTTCTGTTCTCTCTGTCATTGCTTGGTTTTGTTTAAATGAAATTTTTCTATGAGAGGGAGGGAGCAAGGGAGAGAGGGAGGGAGGAAGATGCTAACACCAGTGCTGAAACTTCACAATGCAGGAAACAGCTACAAAGGCAAATTAAACCAATGAATAAATAAGGCCACGCCAAAGTCGTCTGTGATCTCCAGGCTAGTTACACTGATCTCCAGCTCAGCAACCGCGGGATCGGATCATGCAAGAACCGCAACCAGTCTCCGCCTGGACAGATGCCCAGAACCGCGAGCAGCCCGCCACGGCAAAGGCCGCACCTGCCTTGCAGGGCTCAGCCGCGCTGTCCCAGCCGCAGAGGCGACGGGCGGAGAGGCCCCGCCGGTGCGAGGAGCACGTTTGCCCCGGGGCCCGCTGTCCTTAACCGAAGGGGCACGGCCAGCGCAGGGAGAGCCACCCCGAGGGGCGGTCGGCGCAGAGCAGCCCCGTCCCTCACCACAGCGGCGCCT